ATTTATTTATTTATATTTATTTATTTATTTATTTATTTTATTCTTTATTAATATTAATAATACGTATACCGTTAGTACCTCCTGGATATTTATACCATCTACCTAATCTACTTTCTGTACTAACAGCAGCAACAAGAAAAGAATTATTTCTTGATAAAGAAATACCATTAACTAACCCGCCAGCCCCAATTAATGCATGCGCTCCTTGTATTGCACGTAATGTTGCTCCTCCTCCCTTCTCTGCATGCAAGGAAAAAAAAGCACAAAAAAAGGAATCATGCTGCTGCTGCTGTTCCTGCTGCTGCTGCTGCTGTTCCTGCTGCTAAGAAAGGAGCATAGCAAAGCATATATAACAAATAAATAAATAAATAAATAAATAAATAAATAAATAAATAAATAAATAAATAAATAACTTACTAGATGATTGTGCTGCTGCTTGCCATAGTTGTATATATCCTTCCTCTGTACCAACAAGAAGGGCATCAGTAAAGGGGAGGGAGCAGAGGGAGGATACACCTTTTGCTGCTGCGGTTGCCCTTAATGGTGCTGCTGCTGTTGCTGCTGCAGTTGCTGCTGCTGTTTTCTCTAATTGCTGCAGTTGCTGCAGTGTATAATATGTATGTTGTGTAGTATAATCATCACCTGTTGCTGCTTTTTTTTCTGCTGCTGCTGCTGCTGCTGCTACTGCTGCAGCAGGAGAATAATTACTTATACGTATACAGGATAAAGGACGCTTATTATTTATATTATATAATGCTATTAATCCTCCTTGTGTACCGCATGCAAACAAGGAAGGAGAAAGCAAAGAAACTGCATCTACGCAAGACCCTAAGGGAGCGAATGCTGTATGTGTATCTTGTACTAGCTGCACACACAAATAAATAAATAAATAAATTAATTAATTAATTAAATTAATTAAATTAATTAATTAATTAATTAAATTAAATTATATGCATTGCATGCATTGCATAAATAACAGCAACAGCAACAATGTAAATAATAATGCATGCATATAATGCATGCATGCATGCATGCATGCATTTTATACCTTTTATGTATTATATACATTAAATACATCCATTTAATACATTTAATTATTATTATACATATATACTGCATGCATTTAATACATTAAATGCATACATTTAATGCGTGCATGCATGCATGCATGCATTTAATGCGTGCATGGTTGCATGCATGCATATACATAATTACTTGTTATACATTAAATATACATATTTAATCTATTTATTAATTATAATACATATAATATATGCATATAATACATTAAATAAATAAATAAATAAATAAATAAATAAATAAATAGTGCTTACTTTCCAGTTCCTAACAGTCCCATCACTTCCTCCTGTTATAGGTTTATAAGAAGAAAGAAGATCAATAGAATTAATAGAGGAAGAATGTCCATAAAAAGAATTAAATGTATATTTATATTTTATACTCCATGTTTTTATTGATTTATCTGTACTTATACTTATTATATCTACTTCTTTATCTAATATTCCTTCCCCTATTCCTTCCTCTATTCCTCCTATTCCTCCTCCTCCTCCTCCTCCTCCTCCTCCTCCTTCTTCTCCTCTTCCTCCATTTATACATAATCCTGTTACTTCCCCACGATGCCCACGCAGCTCAAACATACACCTGAATAAAGAAAAAAGGACAAGCTGTGCAACTATTGCTGCTGCTGTTGCTGCTGCTGCTGCTGTTGCTGCTGCTGTTGCTGCTGTTACTGCTGCTGATGATGATGATGATGGTACTGCTAACTGTGATGCAGCAGCTACGTAGGGTAGGGACTGCATGCAACAGCATATGCAGCTGCATACGCTGCAATTGCTGCTGCTGCTGCTGCAGCAGCAGCAGCAGAAGGAGTGAGACATCTGCAGCAATCAGCTTAGCATCCTAATAAAATATATAAATATATAAATAAACTATATGTAGGGGTATATATACATCTAAATAAATAAATAAATAAATTAAATAAATAAATAAATAAATAAATAAATAAATAAATAAATAAAGTATAATTACCTATCATTAGATGCCCTTGGGTCCCATACCCTGATTGTATGATCTGCGCCACCAGAGACGAACATTCTTTCGTCTTCTTTAACACAAATACTTAATACAGGTCTAAAATGTCCTTTTGTATTTGTCCTGCTGCTGCTGCTGCTGTTGCTGCTGCTGCTGCTGCTGCTGCTGCTGCTGCTGCTGCTGCTGCTGGCTGCTGATGAGCCAAAACAGTTACGCTGACCCTTGAATACTTGTTTCTTTCCTGTCTCTAAATCCCAACGAATTATACAACAATCCTTTCCTCCTGTATAGGCACAACCCATATTGCTGCTGCTGCTGCTGCTGCTGCTGCTGCTGCTGCTGCTGCTGTCAGGGTCGCAACAACGACCCTGACCAGGCAGAGCTACGCAAGTAACTGGCAACTTATGCCCTTTATAAAATGCTGCATCTTTAAGGCGAAGATTATCAGCAACAGAAACAACTTGACGAGAAAGAAACTACAGGAAAAAAAAAAAAAAAAAAAAAAAAAAAAAAAAAAAAAAAAAAAAAAAAAA